CCCTCCCCCCCCCCCGAAACCTAGCTTTCATATGAAAACCAGTAGGTTTGTGGATATTTTTACGTCGTATGGTAAATTAAAGTCTAGTCTTTACTGGCAGGTGCAGTACCACCTGGGACAAGGGTAGGAGCAATAGTTCCTTCACTGAAGTTTGAGCACTAAGACAAATACCCAAATATTTATATAGTATGTCAGTAAGGGCCAGTGTTTATGTTCTGATCAACATATTTTTCTGAAGAGTAAACAAAGGCTACTGTGCTGCCACATCCATGGGCCAATGCACTGGAATTTGTGCACCGCAGCTTTGGACAGCTGAGGTCCTTGGGAGAAAAAGTCTGCCAAAATCCCTCAGGCAGGGCTAAGATATTCAAAAATAAATACTTTTTACATGAGGGAGCTTTTCTGTGGAACTGGATTTAGAGGAAAATGTATGTGTCAAAATTAAATGGAATTATGCCTAACTCGAGGAATTAAATGCTTGCATCTCAGAGACAACACACACAATGCCTGCATACGTAATGCACGCTCACTATGGGAAACCAACCACAATTGTTGCTAAGTTAATTACTTGCTTGGTGTTAACAGATGTTTCATATCTGAGCTGCAGTTTTCAAAATTCCTGTTCTTGGGCTGTTGAGCTATTTGGACAAAGCAAGCGAGACTACAGGAGCAAAGTGTTATTATACTCATGCCGAATTCACTGGTTACCGTGTTGTTGTATCTGTTCTTTTGACTTTCACTGAAATTTTGGGTATCAAACTTACAAAGTTTTTGGGACAAAGCGGATAAGACTTAACCCTAAGAAAAATACATTAAAAAAAGCACAGGTGTTCTAAAGCCTATGATACTTTTATGCAACCATAATGCTCTGTGGGACTTCTGTATATATAGGAACTAAGTGATGAACCAAAAATTTAGTTCTTCTAACTAAGCTATTTTTTTCTAACTATTTTTCTCCTAGATATTTCCCTAGGCAAGTGTCTTCCTAATTTCTTTTAGGCATAGACTGAAAAATGTCAGTACAGAGAACTATAAACATACCTTTTTTATCCTGTCTCCAATCTTTGAATAAAGCTATAGATCCTGTTCTTTACTGCAGATTATCAAAGCTGTTGCAGGGTTTTTGTTGTTCTTTTTTTAAATGATGCTACCCAACTGTGAAGGGAATAAAAGAAAAATCAAATCACAGCCATGGGAAGACAGGATGTATAAGCCAGCACAACATGGTGAGCACGAATATCCTGTGGGGTGCTCTTCCTCACCTTCTGTGGTTTATTAGACTCCAGAGACAATAGACTGTATTTAGTCAAGGACACGAGAGCGTGTGAGGGGGGGAAAACCCTAAAGTGCAAAGCAGTTTAGATTTTGCTTTTGCTATGACAGGCTGTTGGTGGAGGGCAAATTAGGAGGGCTACACAAATGCAGGATGATTCACAAGCTCATTGTCCCAATTCCCCAGGGATAAACAAACTTCTATATGATGAAATCAGAACATGCAGCAAATTTACATTACTGATGCCTAGGTAACACGACAATACCCTACCTAACCGTCTTCTGAAGAGGAGCCTACAGTCCATAAATCAAGACAAGTTATTCTTTATATGTATCCCTTCCATTAAAAAAAGAAAAAATGTGAAGGTTTATTTTTTTTAATGTGTAACGTGAAGTATGATTATTAAAAGCGTATTTCAGTCAATGAGTTCTTCAGAAATTACTTTAATATTCAGAGCCGCTGAACTTCACTTTAACTTGATTCATCACCTTAATTACAAAGGCTCTTTCTGCTCCCTGACTAGCGGATTCCGAACCATTCCACCGAGAACACACAAAACTGTCCTACATCTACAGTACAGCGAACAAGGAAGATGCCTCCAATGTTTCACCAGTCTTAAGGAAATGACTAAACCTAGGACAGACTCTCCAAAATACAAACGCTTTCCTTACCAACCGCTTGGGTGCTTAGATTTCCATGGTTTTGAAAGGCTACATTTTAACACTAACTTAATGAAAAGTAAATCCTGGAGCAGAACTCAGAAAAGATCATAACACAAGAAAAAACAGCCCAGGAGGAGCTCCTGGCATTAAAGTTTATCCAAAGCTAGCTTGCTGTCTTGGCTTTTGCCTCTTCTTTCTGATTGTGGTAGACTCTGGTGAATAGAAGATGACAAGGGCAATAAAATAAATTTAAACTTAAAAAAGGCAAATCTGAACACCTTACAAAAGGAAAGTTGACCAATAAAGTATAAGACAAAGAGTTAAAGATCTGTGGACAGTTCAACGGGGACACTGGAACAATCTCCAGCTGAAGTGGGCAGAAGTGACAGAGATCATCTAACGTTTATGCTTCACAGCACCACTGCCTGTGCTCAAGAAAAACTTCTCCCTGCAGAGCAAACTGCACAAGCGTCCTTTCATACACATCCACCTTACAAGACGGACTACTAGAAAACGAAACTAAATTCTTCCTCTCTCCTGACAGGCTTAAGAAAAAACAAGATTAGCCCAGCTCGTACAAGCAAATTTTAAGGCAAACAAAAAACTGAGGAAGAAACTGAAGAGAGGACACAAGGTTCTCCATAGAGGGAAAAGAAGTCCGAAGCAGAACAAAGGCTACATTTAGGTGAGAACAGAACTGTGTAGGTGATGCCTTCTTACGTGGAAGGACATGAGAGGCCAGCTAGGTAGTTGACTGGTGTTTTTCTAGCAGCGTCTTCAGTTTCTAACATCACTCGTTGCTTTTTCATTAAAGCGGCCTTTCCTTTATTGTTTTGGTTCACTGCAGCCAAGTAACTCTGTGTCTGCGAAGTCCCTGCCTCTGCCTTGAGCGCCAGCAGCTTAAGAGGTTTGTTCACAGAGCGTTCCATAATTCTTACGCTGACTTCACTGTCCAGTGGCTTCCTTCTCCCCATCACATGTATTTTTAAACAGCTATCAAATCCTTTAGAATAGAGTAGCTCTTTGGATGCATGGCTGTTTTCTGTACAAAAGGAATGTGGCAGACTAAGTGCAGCAAATAGGCATTTAGCTGCATGATCACCATTAATGGCTTCTTAGCAAAATCCTATCACCCAATACGCTTTTATATTTGTTCTACACGTTATACTACAGTGAACTAATACATTTATCAGAATAACACAAGAGTAAATGACAAACTGTTTCCCCATATCAACATCTGGGTTTTTTTTCCTCCCAGATAAGGCCAACAGGTCACTAATCTGGAGTATTTCAATTATAAACAACTGTATGACATTAGCTTTAGAAAAAAAAAGTTTCAGTCTGTACATAATAAAATTTCTTTGAGAAGATAAAAAAACTCATCAACATTGTATGTTACACGACACGCTACTAGCTGACAAATATCCATAGCTTTCATCATTTAAGAAACACTTAAAGAGAAATGTTAGTGCTGATAGCCCTACTATGGTCTACAAATAAATCCTTAGTCTGCTAGAGACTGGCTAATCTTCCTTGGCTGCCATTTTGGATTATCTCTGTTTGAGCTATGCAGCCATCCGATTTCTTTTACAGGCTCACTTTCATTTTTAAGTTTTAAACAAACAAAAAAAGGCCAAACATTTAAAGAAAGCATTCTATTGTTGTTTGTTTTTTTTTTCTTTTTAAGTGGTGTCAGTGCATGGTCATAGGATTTAGATATTATATGGTACACATTACAGAAAAGCTGAAAGCCCACTCCAGTAGAAGTGCAGAAAGTGCACATGGGTTTCATGCATCTTTCCCATTCTCTTACTAGAACGGGAACAAAAAAGGAAGAAATATTAGGGGGAAAAAAAAAAAGATGAGAGTAGCTAACACACTAGGAGGTAACCCAAAACAGCAAAGAAATTCAAAATCTAGCCCCTACCATACTTAAGTGCTTTTCAGATAGGTTTGGAATATATATATGGATATATGTTTCACAGGTGCTACATCATCACAAAACATGAATGGAGGAGCTGCAAGTAAATTTTTAAATTAGAAAATCTCTTCTTTCAGGGAAAATTGCTGTTAGATGAATACACAGTTGCTTTCACAGCTTAAAAAAAATGCCTACAGGAATTAATGCACACGAACTTACTTGAAGTAAAACAGTGAATGCAGATGCTTTTACTGCAAGATAAACTAGGTAGGATCAAGGCAAGGAGGAGTGAAGCACTGACTTCACCTAAATCCTTTGTGGCAAAACGGAAGATCTTTTTCTTCCAGGTTACATCAAGGTAACTCAAATTCATTAGTTACCATAAAATATACCAGACATCCACACCAATACCATATTATTTTGTGATACCAGCTACACATAATCTCCCACTCCCAGATCATATTGCTTCCCTTACTAAAATCTGCCACGGAGCTTTGCATGCCCCCTCCCCCCCCACCACCCCAATTTGCTACCTCTGCCTTCTCAAGCATTCCCTTTTCCCTTCTCTCTCTTACCACAAAGAAGAAACCTAAGGAGCTCTGACACGATCACTCACACTTTCCACTTCCGTTCTTTTCCCACCCTTCTCTTCTAATCACTCGTTCTCAGGTTTTTCTGCTTTTCCTTTTCCAATCCATACAGGTATAACGACGTTCAAGCTGCCCGCTCCCCTCATTTCTCATCTTGGCTACACAACCTCAGGCTCCAACTCCTTCGTTGCTCCCCTCAAAGTTGCTTCACCGTTCCTTGCTTGCCCCCAGGCTTTCAACTCTCATCTGCTTGTGAGTTTACACTTTTAACTTTTATTTCTTCAGTTCCACCTTTGACTGACAAAATTTAAGGGACATCCACCCCCTTGAAAATGTTCTGAAGTTTCTCTTCAGCTAGCTCCCAGATCCTAATGCTGTATCCACAGCAACTAGTTCCCTCAGTCAAAATGCACTGAAAAAAAAATTAAATCAAAGAGATAACTGAACAGGTCTCCAGTTTTCTTTAATTATGTTAGAAGTTACAGGAACATTTGCAAGCGACCAAGAAAGGCAAGGCAACCTCTGATCAGTATTGCCTGGAGAAGATCAAGCCCCAAGAAAGTTGAGAACTGATAGGAGGACAGAGGCTTAGGGACAACTAAGGACATGTTAATGGGTAACCACTCCGCACTGATCAGCAACACACCTTATTCAGGATGTCCTTTTGCACAGAACTCTACTTTTGCGGATATTCTTCTCCGTGTCAGGTAGGCCTGGCTGTGTCTACACTATCTGGGCAGATTAAAAGCATCTGAAAACAACTAGGTAAATGTATATTCAATAAAATCATCATGGAATGAGATTTGAAAAGTAGTTTTTTTGGTCTCACATGCAAATATTTAAAATGTTTAACCTAGTTGTGGATGGACGTTTTTGTGCCCATGTATGAAAAATAGCTAATTGATTTTAATTTTACTTAGACTACAAGTTTATAGCTTCTTCTAGTCTCACACTGTAATGACATTTTTCCATAAGTAGCACACAGAAAACAGACTCCTTATTTAGTGAAAATAACTCTTGAGAAGAAATCCATTATGAAACACACATTTTTCTAGGCGTCAGACCCATTGAGCTTGCTTCTGCATAAAGAGCATTATTTAAAACTGGAGTTCTTAAAAGTATGGCTATTCCTATAAGGCAAAGGAAACTCTGGACAGATTGTACCTGAGCTCTTAATGATTGCTTCTCTTTCATTAGCTGTGGGGAGGAAGAGTAAGTAAAGGACTGCAAACATGTATTCATGATTCTCATTAGCAAAAATGGCACTGTGCAAATCAATTTCCATGGATCCTGCTAGGCTGGGCTTTCTAATTAGTCCATCATTAGACAGCTAACTTCTCACTACTTCTGAGACATCAAATAGTCCATCACCCTAACACATCACCCGAGCTAACAAGGAGAATTCTAATGAAAGCAAGTCAAATTGGCTGTACCACAGAAAGCACACAATAGGCTTTGTTACTAATCTGTCTCTACCCTTATTTCTATTCTTTATTTTAGTTTCTGTTCTTATAAACCTTTTGGTTTGCACCAATATATTTTTTTTTCATTTCCTATTACTAAAGAATACACTAGCTGCAGTATTGAGGAAAAAGCTCAGATAAAACCAAAAAAAAGGTACAAGCTGAGATTGCTACTGGGCATTTCAGAGCTTTCCATCTTATGATGCTGAAGAGAAATGTCAGCTTGCTACTCGTGGTTTTAAATGG